GCAACAAGATGGTTGCAAAGCATTACTTTTGTCTAACTGAAGCTCCTCAACTCACTTCAACATAGTTGCTTGGCAACAAGATGGCTACACTGCCATCTTGTGGCATTTTGGTATCAAGAAATTATGTTGAAGGGAGGTGAGAAGTTTCATTTAGACAAAAAAAAAGTGCTATTCTTCCATCTTATGGCACCTTGGGGCCACAGAACAATCTTAAAGTGTTTCATTTTGACAACATTGGTGCTTTTCCACAATCTTAGAGCATTTTTGTGCCAAAGTGATATGCCAATAGTGAAGAGAATTGAGGAGTTGCATTTCGACAGAGTGTTTTGCAGTGATATTGTGAAGCGAAATGAGGAGCTTGATTCCACCAGAGTCAAATTCCTTGTGTGTTTTCAACATACTAGGCCAGTAAAGATGATTCTGAATCAGATTTAGACAAAAGTAGTGCTTTGTAATGATCTTTTGGCATCTTGGTGATACAGAACTCTGATGAGTCAAGGAGCTTCATTTAGTCAAAAGTAATGCTTTGCTGGCATCTATAAACAATTTGAAATCTTTTTAGGAGGGACGTCCATTACTCACAGAATAAAGCATTCCTTTCATTGAGCTGCAAACCATTTTTCCTGCTTTGGCCGTAGCACAAAAACTGAATATTGCATCATATGTACAGTATGTATATATGTGCGGTTTACTAAAGACATTTTGAAAAAGTTTTTATTTATAATACACACACACTTTCTTCAGCATTCCTTCCTTCAGCACTCTTGGAAACGTGAACATCGACAAGTCGGGTTGGTCTTAGCATAAGTTCTATTGTGCTTCGTCATGACAGGGTGTCACTCTGACAGCAGCCATCGGAGGTGCAGACATGCCAGTGGTCATCACGGTATTGAACAGCTACTCTGGCTGGGCCCTCTGTGCTGAGGGCTTCCTCCTGGACAACAATCTCATGACCATCGTTGGCGCTTTGATTGGCTCCTCTGGCGCAATCCTCTCTTACATCATGTGTGTGGTGAGTACACAAAAAATACTCATACTCTGTACTTTAAATACATATACATACCGGCATAACAAAAGTACAAGTACTGATTCTGCTTCTGGACTTAAAAGTATATAAAAGTAATGAGCCAAAATTGACAGAGTAAGTAGTAGAAAGTACAGCTGTGCTGTAAAATGAACGGAAGAAAAAAATTTCGGACACAAGTATACTCCCCACCACTGTTGAAATCCCGGTGATTACATTTGTCGCCTCTTCCAAGGCGATGAACCGCTCCCTGCCCAATGTGATCCTGGGTGGCTATGGCACCACCTCTACAGCGGGTGGCAAACCCATGGAGATTGTTGGCACCCACACGGAAGTCAACGTGGACCAGACCATCGACATAATCAAGGAAGCCAACAGCATCATCATCACGCCAGGTACAAGACCTTTATAAGTGTATACAACCACTGTTTACTTGCTCTTACATTTTGTTTTTGGTGCTTGCATTCAATTTCTAGCGCTCGCCGCAGATCTATTTGGTTCTTTTTGTTTTTAAGTCACAGTCACAAGACACACAAGCGACATGATTCCATTAAAATGAATTGCACATACTCAAGATCATATTTCTCCAAACATTAGGTATTATTATTATTATTATTATTATTAATGCAAAAGAACTTATCATGCTAAGAACAACCCAATTTGTATATCTATCTATCACAAAGAGTAACTTTGGATACACATGGTTACTATTTGCTTCATTTTTTTTTTTTTTTTTTTAGTTTTTTTTTGCACACAAACCATGGACAGATGTGTGGTCCCCACATACGGGTTTGATTTGCAGAAACAGTGTCAAGTCAAACTGATGCCCTACGTACTGACAAAGTCGAGGCTGGAAAAGAAATGATTCTGAGGAAAATGAATGCTCTAATTCGAAGGTGGTAATTTCTGCCCGCGTTGACATTTGCACTACGACAAACACATTTCAGCTGTGACCACTGTGAATTAAGTACACCCCACAATAGGATGGATGAAGTTGTCAAGATTATTATTATTAATTATTCTTAAGTCTACTTTGACTTCATGCATGCCTTTTTGCATGTATGTAGGTTGGGGGTTGTGCGCAGCAAAAGCCCAGTATCCGATTGCAGACATGGTGAAGATGCTGAAGGAACAAGGCAAGAGTGTCCGGTAACTGTCAGCACATTTGCTCGAAAGTTCTCTTGAAATTGACAAATAAATTATACATTGTGAATGAAAAATGTTTCCCCCCCCCTCCCTCAGGTTTGGCATCCATCCAGTGGCTGGACGTATGCCGGGCCAGCTGAATGTGCTCTTGGCTGAAGCCGGTGTCCCGTATGATGTCGTATTGGAGATGGATGAGATCAATGAAGACTTTCCAGGTAAGCATTTTCCTGGAATACAAAAAGGGGAGATCGTCACTTTAGCCACGAGGTGTTGCGGAAAATTACAAGAAATTAACTCCCACGCCATACGCTTACTTCACTTTCATCAGCCTGCTGTTGACGTGACACGCAATAATCTGGCGTACACTCTGAAACACATGCTTGTATTTATGATGACGCTTTGTGATGCTGCGGAATTCTTTATTAGGGCTTTTCAAAACAAGTGGCTTTTTTGAAGATTTTTTTTTTTTTTTTTGGTCTCGTGTGATCACGTGTAAATGTCTGCGGCCCGCAGAGACCGACCTGACGCTGGTCATCGGTGCCAACGACACAGTGAATTCTGCTGCTCAAGAGGATCCAAACTCTATAATTGCCGGCATGCCTGTCCTGGAGGTTTGGAAGTCCAAACAGGTTCGTCCATCTTTAGATTAGAATGAGATCCATAATATTACAGGAAATTAAAAAGAGCAAACAAACTAACCTATGAGAATTACCGTATTTTCCACACTATAAGGCACACCTAAAAGCATTCCATTTTCTCAAAAGCCGACAGTGCGCCTTATAATCCAATGCGCTTTATATGTTGATCAATATTCTGATTTCTTGGACGTAGTACTTTAAATGTTGTTAAAAGCGCTTTGTTACAGCTGCAGCAGTTGTGAAAGCTCTCTACAGTATTAATAAAGCTGTATTGTTCTGTATTTCCTTTAGCGTAGCTCCATCTAGTGCATGCATAATGCCACCGCAGCCACTATTGTGGCTTCTAGCCTTCGATTCTATGCGCCTTACAATGCAGCGCACCCTATATATGAAAACAGTTTTAAAATAGGCCATTCATTTAAGGTGCGGCCTTAAAGTGAGGAAAATACAGTACATGTTCTGTATTGAAAACAGCCACATAACATTGTCTTAAAGTTTGCTTGCTTAACTTGAACACGTAATGGGAAAATCCAGCAAACGTATAGCATCTTTGTTTGGTGATACGAACCTTTAAGAAATGGATATTTGAACACACACAATGGACCAACACGTGGACATAACTATACATAGGCATATATTCTTTATCCGCGATGAGGAATAATTAATATTACTACAGCTTGTTGAGAAGCCGAGATCAGCTCCTTGTACAGTATAACCATATGGCTGTATTCTGCCCGAAGGTCACACGAGACTGAAGCTAAACGTGGCAATTATTTGCAATCTATTTAATCCTGTCATTTCCGTATGTTTTCATACAGTACAATATTGTATTGATTTCAGTGAGAAAAGATGATTTTAGGTGCTTTACAGTTACAGCCATGGTCCTAAAACAAACGAATGCTCATTTCTAAAGACATGTGTATAGATTTTGACTATATTTGACACTCGTCAGACAACTTTTTCAAACTTTTCTTTAGGTGATCGTGATGAAACGGACCTTGGGTGTCGGCTATGCTGCAGTGGATAACCCCATTTTCTACAAGGCCAACACATCCATGTTGCTGGGAGACGCCAAGAAGACATGTGACAGCCTTCAAGCAAAGATTAGGGAGACGTTCTACTAGGCCCGCCCACCACCACCTGACTGACCACATGTAAGATCTTGGTACAAAATACGTCTTGGTTTCCATCCTCGGCATTGGCTTAGGATACTTAAGTCTGCATCAAATGAAATGGATGGGCTAAGATGTACAGTACAATAGTAGATGAGATTTAATGAATGGAGAAAAAGTAAAGACTTGTGTACTGGTTTGTAAATAAAGCTATTTAAATGTACCGTATGACTCCTATTGTACTGCTTTTTCAAATGAAATAACCAATCCTTTTCAGGGAGCTATACAACCGCGACTATCATTCTGCTTTTGGTGTTTTCACTTGAAAGATGAAAAACACACATTGAGTAGGGGGTTTGTATTTATTATTTAAGGCCAACTTGGCAGCCAGCACGTATGTGGAGTGGGTCTTTAGGCCGCTGTTTAAAGCACGTCATTCTTGACCATTAGTGTGTGTCGGTGAGGGTTGGTCCAATACGACAGCAAACGTGTCAACTGGGGTTTTGTGCTGCCACTGCTGCTTTAGTTGTCACGCCCAGCAATGACGTGATGGGAGATATTCTGGCCAAACTGATATGTTTTTGCAGCTCAAATATGTTGGAATAAGAAAGATGCTAGAGGAAAAGACAAACATTTTTCCAGGGCGTAGTCGAGCTATTTAATTGACAGTTGACAGTTAAACAGGGCACGGTTTCAGCACATTGAGTGCACACGCCCACAGTGTTTGTGAGCGGCAAGAACAGCTTTTTCAGATGCCTTATTGTAGATACTTGGAAATCTTTTTAATCATTCAAATTCAGCAGTACAGTATTGTTGACAACACCACTTTGCGGTGTGTCAAATTTACAAGACATTCATTTTCACTTTACAGGGACTTTAAGACTTTTGTATGTTTTGTGACTGTAAGCTAATATATTAGCATTAGCTTAGTTACAATTTTTTTTTTTTTTTTTACACTTGGCAAATTTGCGTTTCACCTTGTATGCATTTAACAAATGATCCTAAATGCTCAAAGAAATGTTAAATTTCCCCTTCCAAAATCAAACTTCACACAAACTTCACACAAATACAATCAATCAAATTGGACTCTATTTGGATTTACAGCCGCTTTTCAGTCTCCTGCTGTTTTTTTCTCTCCTGGGCTTGCTTCCTTCCAGCCTCCTTCGACTTGTTGACGACTGTGTGCAGGTAAGAGTAGAAGAAGAGGAGGTTGTCATACTCTCCGCTGTACTCTTGAGTGAGACACTGCTCATGGAAGTCCTTGAGGAAATAATAAATGGCTTCGATTGTTGCCAGGTAAGTCTCTGGTTTTCCCTTCTGAGAGCGCCAGAAGCACGTTTTCCTAGTCCTCAGCTCAACCTGGAGCAGGTCTGAAATGTCACAGCACAGAGTGGCCATATCAAACTGTTGGGTGAACTTTCCAGGCCCATTAAAATAAATAAACAAATCGAAGAGTACCTTGTAGTCTCTCATCTGTGCTGATTTTGTTGGTTTGGTTCCATGTGCTGTCAATGAAGACCACCCTCTGGAGGGGATACACCCTGGATTCGCAGTCCTTTATTTCATCTGAGGTCCCTGACCCCGGATTCTCTGTAGAATGTGTGGCAGCTGGCGAGTTCTCTATTTTCCGTCTCTTTACCCAGGGGCCACGTGACCTGCTGTCAGTCCTCTCATGCAAACACTGTATCATGTCTTGTACTGTGACAGCGCCTGGACCAGGGAACACCAACACAACCTGGTGGCAGAAGAAGTGAGATCACTTGAAAGCAGAATGTATGAAATGACACTGAGTATTCCACAGACTGGTAAAAGTTCCAACTGTTTCCTAATCTGCAAACAATGCAGGTATATTGTTTGTTTTGGTTTTTTGTACGACACACAAGAAAATACATGACCATGACTTAATTCAGGGGGGTCCAAAATTCATGAGTACATTCTTTTTCTAAATCATTCAGCCCTATCATTTAAACATCCATTTGAGAAAATAAAAACCATCACAGACCTACGGGGATCAGCAAACATGTAATGCGTAGCTTGAATAAGTGTGACTAAAAGGACGATATTTGGAACATCAGCTTATGTCAGATCATGGACCACCATCATGAAGGTTCAAGTACATTCAATCAAAAGACACTTGAGCTAACCTTGTCTTGATCATACTCGGGAATGCTAGGGTACATGTAAATGGTGATGTCACTGGGCGCTAGGATTTTCGCATGAACTGCAGTGCTCTTGCCATCGGTCTCATTGGGATGTTTGATGATGTCTATCTTTACTGGAAGCTATAAGCAGAAAACAAAAGACAACAAACAGAACACTTAATAAAACTGGCATAGCTATCACAGACTTGAACCCAAGACCGAAAAGAACAAACAAACCCAAACCTTTATACTGACCTTGACGATGGGGATTTCTTGCAGACTGACGTCCACTAATAAGCAGCATGTGTAGCAGAAGAACATCCTTGATCCTCCGCATTTAACACATTTCGACCTGCCCCTCTGTTGCGCTTTCTCCAGCACGGTGTGCGATGCCAATTTCAGTCCTTGAAGTGGCTGCTTGGACAGCTCGAGAGTGTGTGCTAAATCGCTGGAGCCTTCGTCCAAGCTGCTCATGCTTGCTCGTGTTTAACGTTGACAGTCCAGATGAGAGAATGTGGACCAGATATTAATAGCTGCGTAAAAGGGACACATTTTGGCTTGAGTTAAGAGATTTGTATTTTTCACATTTTGAATAAGGTAACCAATGTTTTGGTCCCTTAATGCTCGCAACAATAAGGGATATTAATCACAGGCAGATTATTTGAGTGTTTTACAATACTTTGTTCTTCAACATTCTCTTAACTTTACAAAAGAGAAAAATCAGCAAAAATATTTTTTTTCTACAACAGGAATGCGCACAAGTAGTTTTCTCAATTGTAAAATGTACCAGTGTGAAGAAGAGTTAAGTCGTGGATAGGCAATAGTGGAGACACTTTTGCAGTCTGGTCGTCCTACTAGTCCGTATACAAATGATCAAATGGGTATCCAGAGTATCCATCTAAAGGTTCGCGTACTAGTAAGCTCTTTGTGCTCACTAAGACACGAGGCATACTAGTAGAACAACTACACGTTAGAAGTGCGGCAAAACTGTGCACTAGTTGACAACTGGTACTCCTGGTGACGTAAATTTCGACTCCCGGTAGTTTTGCACACCAAAACCAAACAGTATTTCGTATAACCGTACATATACCGTCAACGTACGTATACCGTGTGAATGTTGCTCGAAATACAACGTGGAATGTGTACATACACGCCAAACAGGCTGTTAGCTGATGCATGGAAACACGCGTTTATGTTGATCTGTGCGTGCTCTCACTGCTCTGTCAAGTGCGTTTCACTTACTGGTCACACACACCACTCAATTAGGAGGTCAAGTCAAGAAATTGTGGCCCACGATGTTTTTCTCAGCTCCTTCTGTTACAGCAACGTTTTCCGGTTTGCAACGATCATAAATAGAGCCTCGTTTGAGCGGTATCGTTCGTAAATGGCGCCGCCATATTGAATGTGGAAAGTGGAGTGACCGGTGAAGTTGCCTTTTTCATGTGTTGCTTGGAAATGTAGCACTCGTTTAACACTTGAAGCTAAAGTTCGTGGAATTAAAACTGAAAACTTTCCTTTTTGGGAATACATTTTGCTGACTTTTCGCTTAGTTCCACGACTAAATAACATCGAAATCAATATTACAATACTGTATATATTTGTAATCGTCACATTACAACTTATACACGTCTTTCTTTCTTTGTTTGGTTGGTTAGTTTTGCTGCGTATCTGTTTTCCAAATTTAGAACATTTTTGAAGAGCATTAACTTTGTATGATGTCGGTTTAGTTCAAGACTTGCATTTTTTAAGGCAGCTCTACCACATTCAATATGGCAAACGTGTTAACGTGCCCCAAGTGGAGTATGCCTGTGTTTGTAAATTGAAGCTTGTGACTACGGGGGACCGGAGGTGCCAAACAGTACACTGGAAATTGGCTTTACAATCAGTGTAAATACAAACCACGTTTACCTGCCTTCGTGGCTGTTATTTAAAAAAAGAATACGTGTCTTCGTATGTAATTAAACTCCATAGCTTGATGCCAATATGACGCTCGAATAGTGTAAGACAGAGCGACAGGGAGACAGTGTGAGTCGCCTTTTTAGTAATTTATAGCTTGGTACTTCATTATCATTCCGAGATTTCATCACGGTAGATGCAGCATTTTCACAGAACTGTATCTGAACACCCAGTTTTTAGCTTACCTTTATGATGACATGAATTTCAAATGTCTTTAGTTTTTCAGTTTTGTGCTGTCAACCCGTTTAGGTCTCGAGGCAGCTTTGCAAAATGTAAAAAGTAATGTTAGTTTTCTGTGCAAGCTACGTCTTGGGTGTTCCTTACATCACAGATGTCAAAGTCAAGGCCCGGTGGCCAGGTATGGCCCGCAACATCATTTTATGCAGGCCACAAACGCAAATCAAGCATGTCATAGACCAGTCTGCAAATAGAAATATCCATGTATAACTGTTGCCCATTATAAATGCATTAACCCCCACCCCCCAAAAAAGAAATAAAGGGACATATGCAGCATGGGGCCACAAAGGTGAGTTTTCCAAACTTGAGACTAAGATGGAGCCTCAGTCTAGTCACTGTCACTTTTTTTATTTCAGGTCATGTTGGATTGGTGGTGACCAAAAACTTCCAAGTAGAATTTTGAGAGATATTGGTGATGTAGATTCCTCATTTTGGAATCTGCTTTGCCTTTCTCAAACCTGTCAGATGCTGGTACCTGTGTTATGGTTCATGGTGTGGTTCTAGTCCCATTTTGTTCTGCTTTATATAAAGTCACTCTTACATGTGGTTTGGTCTAGGGCAGGGGTGTCAGATTCGTTTTTATCGTGGGCCATATTTTAGTAACAGTTTCCCTTGGAGGGCTGTTATGACTGAAAATATAGTCAAGAATAACGGTGTACTCCACTTTTGTTTAAATTACTGTTATGATGGGTTTGGTTACAAGAAAATGCTTACAATATCCTTCTTATTTTTTACAGATGAGAATTTGAAATTTTGGTACAGATTTTAACTAGCATCATGGAAGTTCACATTTGATTTGCTTTCGCGGGCCACATAACATGAGGTGGCGGGCCGGATCTGGCCCCGGGCCTTCAGTTTGACACATGGTCTAGGTGCGGGTGTTCGATCTCAATTGCCAGGGGAGGAAGTTCACATAATTTCGGGAAATGACCTAGCAGGGGCGAAGGTGTGGGCTCATGGGAAACCACATCGGTTTTAGAGGCAGCCTTTAGCACCCCCAAGGGATTTGTCTCCAGATTTTAGTGATGTGTCTCTTGACATTTTTCCTGGCTGTGCAGTCACTCAAGCAGCTTCTTGCTGCAAAGAAGCCAGTTAGAGCAGGCTCATCTGTTTGATATGGTAGTTCCCGACTCAGTTGTGAAGGACAATGCACAGTTATTTTTTTACTTGATGGTCTCTTGGTGACAAACAACCATTCACACTCACAGTCACACCTAGGGACAATTTAGAGTGTTCCATTAACCTGCCATGCATGTTTTTGGAATGTGGGAGGAAACCGGAGTACCCGAAGAAAACCCACGTAGGCCCGGGGAGAACATGCAAACTCTACTCAGGGAGGCCACAGCCCGAATCGAACCCACTTCTTTGGGTTCCTGTAATTCTAGCCATCCTACACAGATGCCATGGTATCCTCCGTAGGGTTCAACGTTTCCCACACAAAGAGGCAGTTGTCTGCTGTCGCCGAACGTGTGATTTTTGTGGTGCGTTGCGTGTTGGTTTCACATTGCTTTGGTGTTTTGCAGACACAGAATCCCCCGAGTTGCGTAACTATCGATTTCTTTGAAGGAAAATAAGATTTTTGGCGGTTGACCCTCCCCCTTTTCTCTTATTGGGCCTCTCCATATCGCACAAGACCCTATGGCCTTTCTTTCAGGTGATTTTCACTCGCCAATATTTTCAAACCCCCCCCCAGCCACCAGGTTCATTCCCCACCTCGTTCACCTCCAGCCTTTTCCCAAAGGTGCTGCTCGTATTGTCAGACTACCGATATCTGCACATGCAGTTGGTAATATGGACCACATGTGGTTGTCTGCATTTGTGCCTCCACACGAATATCAAATGGATCCCAAAACACTTGAACAAATAATGTGTTTTTGTCCCAGCATCATTATATAACCACAAAACCCAATTGAACCGCGGAAGCATTCTTTAGTTGATTTGTTTTGTTGCAGGTAACACAAAGGCAGTGCAAGAGGAACGGAAACAAACACAGTGGAACCGTTATTGGTGTAAACACACTTCCAGGACAATCATTGATCTCAGATTTCTTTTTATTTTGAAACATTTTTTTCCCGTGAGAAATAGTAAAGATTGAGATCATCTGTTCCAGACTCATGTAATCGTTATTAAATTCGGGCGGTAATATTTCAACAAAAAAAAAATCTAACCACAAGGAACAATAAAGCAGATTAAATTTCAATAAGATATACTAAGGCGTAATGCTTGGCACATTAATTTTTCCAACTTTATTTTTTTCACTTCTCACAATAAAGCTCTCCCTCAGTGTTTCATAGCAAGAGATGTCACGTAAGGTTGATGCGTAAGTTGTACTCATTTAACCTCTGTTCCTGAGACTCATTCTTCTTGTGAAATGAATCAAAAAAATAATCCAAAGAAAAAGCAAACACGCAAATCCTTGTGAGGCATTTTGAGGTCTCGTACCAAGTTGTGCATGATGGCAGACATTTTCTTGAAATAGGCTGAGTCACGGAAAAGAGCCATTAAAAAAAAAAGAAAAAGCAAAGCACTTTATACAACTTTTCTTTGAAATTGTTTTCAACTATTATCTATTATTAGGGCTGCTACTAACGATTATTTTAGATCGACAGAAAGTGATTATCATTCAGTTACCCGTTGGTGAATGACATGTCAAAAAATGTTGGTCATTGCTTTCCAAAGTAATAACAGATGTTTGCAAATGTTTTATTTTTCATTCCACATAAAGGATATCAGTCTGCTTTCATGGCGGACTACACAAAACGGATCTTATTTAATCTTGAGAGACTGCAATCCCGAAGATGTGCACAATTTTAAGTTCGACTCGGTCTGAAAATCATTAATTGTTGATTGTCAAAATATTTAGTGAAAATCATTAATTGTTGATTGTCAAAATATTTAGAGATATTTGACAATCGATCAGTTTATACAAAATATTGGGTTTTCTCCGGGTCCTGCGGTTTCCTCCCACTTTCCAAAAACATGCATGGCAGGCTGACTGAACACTCAAAAGTGTCCATCGGTATGAATGTGAGCGCGGATGGTTGTTTGTCTATGTGTTCCCCTGTGATTGGTTGGCAAGCAGTTCAGGGTGTGTCCCGCCTACTGCCCGAAGACAGCTAGGATAGCATGCCCGTGACCCTTGTGAGGATAAGCGGATGAGAAAATGGATGGATGGATAGAGATAGCCTATACCACACTTTGAGCATCAATTTGATAGATATCCTGTTATGGGTACAGTTTGACCTTTTCGGCATTTCTGCTGTTATTTAAATTGAGTAGATAATATTGAGGCTCTCTTTTGTTTGATAAAAGTGTGCTGTAGTTCCAGTGAAGTAAGTACGTGTGTAGGTGTTGCAATTTTTGTGTAATTGATGCCACTTTGCATGCTCTCTCCTGACAGTTCTCTCTCCCGGGCGCTGGAGCCTTGGGTGCGCTGGGAACACACAAGCTTGAATGCAAAGTGAGTTTACAAGTATGTTACAAATTATCAGCTGAGAATAACTTTGCGTGACTTGGCAGACGGCTTTACCTTGCTCACATGTTGTTTGGGTCAATATATTTCAGGGGTTTGCTCTTCCAATTTGACTGTCTGTATCTGACAAGGGCCCAGATGTGAACCCAGCCTACAGAGGTAAACTCTGTGTGTGTGTGTGTGTGTGTGTGTGTGTGTGTGTGTGTGTTCATGCATGAATAAGACTGGACAGTTTGGGAAATCTGCCAGTATATCTGATATTGTGGTCACTGTCGTCGAAACTCAATGGAATTAAATTTACATTAAAACGTCACATGTTTAGATTGTACTCTAATTGGTTTATCAATTAATCTTTTTTGGGTCATGTCGTCTGTCCACAGGTAAAAATATTTCCCTAATGTTTCTTTGCTAATTAAGCATCTGAAATGTTATCTAAACATCAACGGCATCATACCTGTTGCATTATCTTGACTAATCTGAGTCAAAGTTCTTTCACCTCTCCAGGAGAATTTAATTTTTGTAGTGACATAAGTGATCGAATCATAAAAAGGGGTTGTATGGGAATCAAAAATGTCGCTTTCTCTTTAACATCATCAAATAACAAAGCATACATCTTGTTACTTATGTACATGGGCATACTTAAGGATGTATGACCATCCATCCATTTTCCGATCTGCTTTATCCTCACAGGGGTCACAGGGCATGCTGGAGCCTATCCCAGCTGACTTCGGGCAGTAGGCGGGCTATACCGTGAACCGGCCCAACGCAGGGCACACATAGACATACAACCATTCACGCTCACACTCACACCTGGGGACAATTTGGAGTGCTCCATTAACCTGCCATGAATGTTTGGAGGATATGGGAGGAAACCAGAGTACCCGGAGAAAACCCACTCAGGCACGGGGAGAACATGCCGGAGCCAGAATTGAACCCTTCACCTCTGCACTGTGAGGCCGACGTGCTAACCAGTCGCCCACCAGTCCGCAGAGCGTGTATACATAATAACAAACATATGTTGCGCCGAAGAAATAGAAATATGAGTTTGGCTCTGTATTTTATCATGGTGTGCCAATAATAAAATATATTTTACAGACCAGTGAATTATCAGCTTCAAACCTCTTTAAAATTTCAAGTCTACTAGTCAAAAGTTTGACCACACTTTCTCATGCAATTGGGGATCCACTGTATATTATCTGTACTGTTTTCACAAACAACGATTCATATCTCCAATTTCAGTGAATTTGTCCACTGAAAAAAATGTTCAGAGGTGAAAAGCTCTTATACACAACGCATAACATATTTATTAGACTGCCTGTTGTAAATTGAATGCAGCTGCTTTTCGTTTCAGTGGGCTTTCAACGCTTAACCGTTCTATTCGGCCAATGGCCTTTGATTAACATTATAACTGGGAAAGTGGCTGGTTCTTAAATCCAGAGTCTCAAGCGAAAACCAAGCTTCACAGGAGGCAGCACTTATCGCCCCGTCATCAAATTACACTTACCTTTTGGGTTTGATGTGATAGCGTTTTGGTTGTCACTTGGAAATGGTGGAACTTTACCTCACCGAACTGTCAAATCATGGGTGTACAAATTTGATGTGGTGACCCCATTCAAATTAGTTGCACTGATGTGCAAGAAAATTACGACTCGCTGACAGACCCAATTTTGGAAATAGGGAGATAACAAAAGATTTGTTTACTATCAACCATCTTCACATGCCACTTTCAAATGAATTTTCACCTTTGCTTAATGCTTCCAGTTTTACAGTTTTGGACAAAACTGAAGAATTCACGCGAATTGTTTGGAGGACAATTATGTCATGAAAAACACAGCAACCCTTCAGGTGGTATTAAAATGTCCCAAATTATTGAACTCACAAGTGTTAATAATGTCAAATGAAATCATGATCAATTGCTTTTCAAATTGAAATCCAGTTTGCCCACTGGAAGATTTGATAAAAGTGGCTCTCCACTCCTGGACGAAGTATTGTAGCTTAGGACAGTGTCAAACTGGAATGAGGATTAGTAACTTGTTTTTCAAATATAAACATATTGTTCACTTATTTAGTTTAATTAGGGTGTTGCCTTGACTTTGACCCAACATTTGAATGTTACGTTATAATTTGGACTCTACTTTTATTTGTTCATCTGTTTCATGTGTAATTGTGTGTGCGCGTGTGTGTGTGTGTGTGCGCGCGCGCGCGCGTGTGGCGTGTGTGTGTGTGTGTGTGTGTGTGTGTGTGTGTGTGTGTGTGTGTGTGTGTGTGTTGCTATGTGGAAAATAAACAAACAGGAAACTCTTATAGAGAAATATAATATTTAATAATAAAATAATAACAGTGAATAGTGGTTTAAAAGCTGGTGTCGCAAGTCAAACTACCGTACTTGCTTGTCTTCAAGTAGCGTCATCCGTAGACAAAATGTTATAATGTATTGGTTTGTGTTTTCACTGTTTGCCCATCACATTAACAGGAAGGGGCATTGGTTAGCACGCCGCCTCATAGTACAGAAGAGCAGGGTTCGATTCCAGCTCCGGCCTTCCTGTGTGGAGTTTGCATGTTCTCCCCGTGCCTGTGTGGGTTTTCTCCGGGTACTCTGGTTTCCTCACACATTCCAAAAACATGCATGGCAGGTTAATGGAACACTGTACATTGTCCGTAGGTTGGACTGTAAGCATGGATAGTTGTTCGTTTCTGTGTGCCTTGCGATTGGCTGGCAACCGGTTCAGGGTGTACCCCGCCTACCACCTAAAGACAGTTTGGATAGGTTCTTGTGAGGATAAGCGGATTAGAACGTGGAGGGACGGATGAATTAACAGGAAGTGAAAAAAGGAGCAAATATAGATTTGATCCCCATTCTGAGAAGGCTGTCCACATCATGTTGGGTCATTCCAAAGGGGTTTGGTGGCTTTGAAGAAATGTTCTCCTACACAAAACTTATCCAACCATGCCTTAGTGGACCAGAAAGTGCTTTCTGCAAGTAGTTGCACACAGAATTGTCCATACTGTATCAGTAAACTGAAGTAATGGAGATTCAGGGGAACTCAGGGCATAGTCCAACCGCTGATTATTTAATTCGGAGGTGTTTCTTAAGACCCTTGTCCTTGCTGTGTATTATAGTAGCGTATACAGGATGACCAAAAAGTCACTCTATACTTCCTTCCTTTTTCCCATTTTGTTTCAGGTATCATTCAGCCAGACATGAGGCCATCAGCATTTGACAGTTTAGGGTGTGCAGATTTTCTAAGCTTATCATTCACCTGCTCAAATGACATGTATTAATTTACATAATTCATGTCGGGTTTCTTGAAACCGGATCTGTTGGTGTATTGTAAATTGTAAATGTTGGAGCAGGGTGACGGCCTTAAAGCTTCTCAAATTGGCACCAAACTGCTGTTGGGGAGAGAAAAACGTTTGCAACATGATTGGCATCGGCGCGGTACGGCCAAGGGAATGCTGAGACTGCAAATTATAAACTGTCAAATGCTGATGACAGTCTTGCAGAAAGTGGTGTGTAGCTGGTGATGAGTTTATATGTCCGTTAACATATTTGCTAAGTGAATTCATACACATAGTTAGTGGTCTGTCTCAGTCCGCCCTCCTCTCCTCCTCCCTGCATTTCATGGGGATGAAGTGCGACGCAACGTGCTCCCTCCTCGTCTTCTTCCCTCGCATGGGCCGCCCCTTCTGAGACAGCGCGATGAACATTTCTCTGCCATTTGTAGTCCACTTTGCCGAGGAGTAAGCATTGAAGTAGTTTTCTAGGAAAACCTCCTTGAAGTTGCAGTTTTCGGTGTAGGTCCTCTGCAAAGGGTCACAAGAAGGGCAGTTTAAACTCAGCCACGTGTTGTTGTGATAAGCAATTGTATGGTTTGCCATTGACATTTACCTTTCCCTGCAGCTGTCCAGCTTTGTTCATGGAGATGTAATGCTGACTCTTTATGCCTTTGATAGCCAGTATGCCCCCTTCAGACACTGTCCTGATCTCTAGGATGCCTATCAGACAAGTAAAGACATAGAACAGAACAGGTAAGATGCTGTTGACATCCAGCCTTCACTCCAGAATTCCCCCCCCCCCCCCTTTTTTTTTTTTAAACAAATAAGAACGAGACGGAAGTTCCTGTGGGTAATGAGAAAGTGGCCTCTCTGGCTTCATTCAAACTTGTTAGTTGACCTGCCTGGCCCTTGCACAAGCCCCAATTTATATGCCGTAGCACATATGGGAGACAGATTAGGGCTCTTCCACCAGGGACTGAGAAAATTACCTGCCTGTGTGAGCCTTGCACGCGATAGTCAAAACCTGCGCTTGAAAACCGAGAGAGTACGTGCATACATGCATTGTAAGAGCGGTTTGTGTTTTCATGTCAACAGCGAGTGATGAATGTCCGTACATTTGCATGCAGTACACCCGGGGGCTTTGTTGACAGCAGTACCATGAATGTTTGCTCAGTATTAAAGCGAAGCATGATGGACTTGAAAGTAAGGTGGAACAACGAGCCAAACTGCAGCTTTGATGATATTCAGACCGAAATAGTTGTACACTCACAGAACGCTATGAATTTCTGTACAGGGATATGGAACCGATTAGAGTTATACCAACAATTCTGCCTTTACCAAGATAATAATGATCAGTTTTGATTGATACTGTCATAGAGGTATCAATGTAACAATACTTATTGTTGTGCAAGTCAGTGAAGTGCGGTGAGGTTCATGAGTGGTGAGGCATGGACGGACCCCTCTGGAGACGGATATACACTACTCACAAGAAGTTAGGGATATTCAGCTTTTGGGTGAAATTTCAGGACAAGCCTAAAACACATTCAAAAGTAAACTTAATGTGACCTCAAAGCTTTTGAATGCACATGTCCAACTGTTAAATGTTTTCAGTACACAAGTTGCTGTTCTCTAAAGAGGAGCTTAACTGCAAAATTCACAACAGCTGTTTGATCCTCCAATCGACCAATAAATGTCTTGGTTGGATTATAGCTGATGTTTAAACAGTCGTCCTTATCATACTGTTCAGATTTTGACATCATGAAACCAAGACGACACCTAACAATGGATCAACAGTACCTTGCCATTGTGATGCTTCAAACAGGATGTTCTCAGACGGAAGTGGCCACTGAGCTTATAGTGTAACAGTGTATCAGCAGTTTCTAACAGAAATACCGAGAGACTGGAAGAGTCACAGAAAGATGTAGAAGTGGACGTCCTTTGGCCACATCCCATGCTGATGACCGCTATGTTGTGAACAATGCCCAGAGAAACCGGATGACAGCCACTCAACTCCAGGGACATTTAAGGAAGGTGAGAGGCACCCAAGTGTCACATTAGGTCATTTGAAACCATTTACATCAGTGTGATCTGAGTGTTAGATGACCCGCAAGGGTACCTGACTATACCACCAGGCACAGGTACCATTGTATTGCGTGGACCAGGGAGCATTTACGCCAGACGAGGGACTGGTGGGCCTCAGTGCTGTTCTCTGATGAAAGTCGATTCATGTTGAGCAGAAATGACGGCCGCCAATGATCTCGGAGATGTCAAGGAGCGCGCTATGCATTTGCCACTGTTGTCACCAAACTAGCTTTTGGTGGTGGCGGTGTTAAAGTGTGGGCAGGTGTGTCCAGCCAGTACAAAACTGCCCCACACTTTGTGAATGGTACAGATTGGAAGGGCTGCCCTTCAAGAAGAGAGGGATGCCACGCATCAGCAGACAAGAAGTCGTCTTGTGAACAGCATGAGACATTGTCGTCAAGCTGTAATTCGTGCTGAAGGGCACATGACGAGTTATTGAGAGATGACATTTTTTCGATTTTGGTGGACCCACCATCTCTGTTAACTATTGTTTCAATGAATTGTTTGAGATGAAGAAATCGCCAGTGCATCCTTCAACTTATATGTCCTACTTTCATGAAGACATCACGGTAGTGTGAAGTTTTTACATTTTCCATAAATTTCACGTGAAAGCCAAATATCCTTTTTTCTTTTTTTTTTGTGAGTACTGCAGTGTATAAATATGAACCCAAAATAGAAGATTAGCCTGTATGTGAATTTCGATTGTTTGGAAATATTGAAGTAGAACAAAAGCTTATTTAACCCTTTCAGGGAGAGCGGTTCCGACATTGCACAGTTTATCATGTTATCAGGTTACAGGCTTACCTCACCTGTCTCTAATGTGCATGCACAACAATAAAAAATAGTTAATTTGAAACTTTATTATTTTAGAAAAACATACTAGCAACATCTGTGTGGCAGCAATACATCATACACATGACACAAAGCATTTCTTTTCCCACCACCATTTGATATGACGCGTCCAAACTCTTGGCACCTGACCATTGGAGGAAAGAGGGAAGACCTCTACTAGAGCTGTTTTCCACACTGACATTGAGCATGCGGTGCTAATCTCACTTGCTAGATCACAAACAGATGAGGTGATCCCAATCTTGGAATGTTGTTTATGCTCAGCACTCTCCGACTCACCATTGCCATCCCTTGGGTGCCTGCTGAGCTACGACATGTCATATCGGCAGTCCCAAAGTTCTACCTGTCTATTTGTAGACCTTTCACACACTTTTAAGTTTCGAATTTTTATTAATTTATTAGCGCAAACTATACTTGACCCTAACGAGGACAAGCGGGATAGCTTCACTGTGTTTATTTGTATCGTGCAAAAGCATCATGTCTCTCAGAGCATGAAAGTGTTCTTCCACTGATATATGAGACAGTCGAAGAGTTGTTTGGTCTACTGTGCAAAGATGGAAAACTTGTACAGTATCCTGCACACATTTCAACGCTGGTACTGTACACATTTGTCTTTAATAATTATTAACAATTACAATGTTAACCAGCAGCTCCTATATTTTGTTGTTCTACTTCTTCCATTCATAACTTTGCTGCTGTGAATTGGGAATTTCTCCATTGCGAGACTAATAAAGGTTTTCTTATCTTATCTTATCTTAATTTAAAGAACTTGGTCTTGTGTTCTTATTAAAAAAAAGATCGAGAATTCAATTTTCAAATGGTAATTGGAATGGATTTGCTGCAACACTGTGTTAAAATTGAATTTGTTGGCATGGTCTTTATTCATTCGCTGGAGTTTTTTTCCCCCCATCCTGAAACGACATGATTAACTGCCTGCATTAGTCCATATTTCAATATGCATTATATATGTAGTTGCCCCTGACACCAAGTATAATTTGCCATTCTTCTCTCTCCCCACAAACTAAATAACACATAACATGGAGGTTTTAGGGGTTTTTGTTTTGTTTTGTTTGAACTGCCGTGGTTCCATTTGGTTTTAATCAACCTGGCAATGGATTGGCTGCTTTTTTTAAAATTATTATTTTTTTTATTCTTGCAATCACCATCATATTTTCTGCACTGCCCCTGGAGGTTCACATTAATGTCCAAGTGCTGACAATCACCGTTGCCTAGCTTGCTCAAATTGAAACCATCTTATTTGTTCCACTACTTCTTTGTTTTTGTTTTTTTGAATATGTAAACCAAATTTAAAACGATAAAAAGCGAAGTAGCCTGGGAAATGACATGATCAAGTGTCAAAGTGTGTCATAATGTATCCATAAAGAGAGGGAGAGAGAGAGATTACTGTATATGTAAATTTGTTTATATTGATTGCTGCAGTGCGACTGTATTTTTCCAGAAATACCAAAAATAGACAGCAAAGAGCAAAGTTGCCTCTCGGGTAACAATCGGTGCTTTTTGAAATGTCAAAAAAGTTGTAAAACATGTACCACAGGCATGCTTCCAGTCGGGAATGTCGGAATTTAAAAGAGTGGTAGTCTCAGTTTCACATTGTGGTTTCTTTTTTTTTTCTTTTTTTTTTTTTAAATTTTGAAACAATGCCTTTACTGTAGTTTAGAATGATATAGAAGAGGGTACCGTACACTGGTGGTTGAATCAAAGGCTTTTGCGTTAAATATCTCCGCGTTTGCGTGCAATTGTTAGTTACTATCTTTGTTGCCAACCATTGAACATCTTTACCATTTTCTTTTCTTGTAGCTCTTGAATGTGATCTTCAGAATACCATTTCTGACTGATATTCAGAACTCTTCACTCACCAATAACCAGACAACTTTTGACTTTTTATTTAATTTGTTTATTTTTTTAGATGGCACATGCTTTGTAGCCACCGCAGATAGAGATGACGGAAATCATTTTGGTAATCATGGTGAAATGTCCTGTCTGGAGGTTATTTTAGTTCACTTTTGGTGCCTGTAATTTATTGAAATCCTCCTCTAATCACAGTATGTTTTGGGGAGAGTAACTCAGGCAGAACGAATGTGCCGGAGTGAGTGTGTGAGTGTGAGTTCACACGCACTTGTCAGGCAGCCTTTGACAGTGTTGTTATGGTTTGACAGGCATGCCACCAACACCACCTGCCGGGTTTTACCGCTGTCAGTCTGGCTACACGAGCACACGACAACTCGAGAAAAGTTAAATATCTTACTTTAACAGTCAGTGCTGTTTATATCTGCTCTTACATTCATCTTAACGCGTATTAAATGTGGCATTTACAAAATTAAAGAAGGAATGTTGAACAACGTTGCTGCCAGCACAAAGCATTTTCTGCTTCGTTAAATGATTAGAGCTGAATGATCTCTATCTTTAAAGTAACAAGTTTGACCTCAGAAAAGTTACAGCTCACCTGTCTCCATAAATTATCTGTTGTTTTTTTGATAAAGGACAAACAGTGCTTCAGAAATGTATGCGACTACCACCCCGTGCAGACTTCATACCACAGCTGCCGCAAATTAACAACATTCGTAATATTTATTTCTATTTCTGTCATAGTTAATACAGCATTATGTGGAAGCTCTGAAGCTCTTTCACCAAAATGACATTTCGAATATTTCTTCACGATGAAGAGTAGTAGAGGATCCTGAGCAGACAAATATCGAACTTCTCAGAGAAGTCCGGTGAATTAAAAACTCTTATTCAGTCAGTTTTGTTTGAAATGACTCATTTCAGTTTAAACTGGTAAAATGTCACATGCTCACTCAAATTCCTGAGTCATGCATCATCATACTGCATATTGTTAAACGGTCTGTTGTTATTTTTGATGAGAACTGGTCTAATCATTTGTTTTAAGCACTGTATGTCCACATACAAGTTCCCTTTTGAACAAAATGTACAGATGATGGCGGCAATGTCGCCAGTCAGAAGCCTGTGAAAGCCACAGCAACTCATTTGGACATTCTGACACCACTTCAATATCGCGAGCGATTACATGTACATTAGCATGTACACATTGTAAACATTCAACATGTAAACCTCTCCAAGAAGACAACGTTTTCTGAAATCAACCTCTTATCTGTCATCTGAACTCAGCACACGTAATGTCAATAGATATTTGTGTCATGCTGTCTTGGGGACAGCCCACGTTGGACTATCTTAATATCGCTGTTAGGCATAACTCGATTCAAGGTTGGTATTTAGAATGCGTTTTCAGTGCCCAGTAGCATTAACAGACAAGAATGCAGGTGGTTGACATCGTGCTCCTTGAGATTTTTTAAAAGTGACAAAACAGTCGTCTTACTGTAACAGTTGGTTAGGTCCTGAGTCCCACTGATGTTGCCTTCATCATCAATTGTCAGGAACCACTGGGTGCGACTGAACAACTGTCGGATCCGCACATCTCCTCCCTCCATGTAGTCATAATTCCTGCTGTGACGCTCGTGTCTCGAGCAGTTCATGATGGCAGTGAGTTGCGCCGGAGTGCAGTCACCGTAGACCACACGCACACTGCCCAATAGGAAGATGGCATGCAGGTAGAGTCCCGAGAAAAGATTTGGAAGGTTCCATGTCAGCATCCATTTGCGCATTATAATACAATGCAGTGGGGATCGATGAACAACATAGTGAACTCTTGTCACACCAGCTGCGAACTCAGGGTCCGTGTTCTTGCAAGAGGGAGTCCCTGCGGGGCTCTGAGTCAGGCTCGTTGTGGAGGAAAGAGTTCCCAAAGTTGGTTGGAGTTGAAAGAAGCCGGAGAATACTCTGAAGGAAATGGGATGTGATGTCTTATCGCAATTTGTCGTCTTCAGTGACGCGACATGTTGTCTTCTCCATCCCCCGAGACCGTAAATCTATCAAAGGACAGCAGAACACATGTCTGGAAATGCTACGGAATCCTATATATTCCTTCGAAAACAATTTGCTGAAGTAGCACACGGTGTAGTATTTCTTGTCAAATAACTATGTTTGGGTATAATTTGACAGGCGTGTGCTGACATGTGAGAAAATATGTCACTGACGGAAAAATGTAAAAAACGTAATGACTTACATGTGACGCAAGGACTTGCCAGAGTTGAATTCCCTCTCAGCACGAATTTGGATGGAAACACCTAAAATAAGTCCAGCAGTGCAGTGAGTTGAGAGCTTGTGTCTATTCCAATGGACGCCTGCCCGCTACTGGCAGAGAGACTGTACATGTGGAACCTCCACTGTTGCTGAGATAAATGCCTCCCACTGACCTCACTTGAGAGCAATTAGATCCCAACCAGTCAGCTGTCCGTGGCTGTGATGCAGTCGAGCAACACCCTCCGCTTGCCTCCCGCTGTTTCTCACACTCAGGACGTGAGAGGGAGCTATAAACTCAAGAGCAGCCTCTCACAGGTGTGCGTTTGTACTCTCACTATACAACCTCTGCCTTGTCCAAGAAACATTTTGCCTTTCAAGTACTGCATGCACAGGGACTTCTATTTATGCTGTATTTGCTGGAATATGATAAGACTGTTGGGGAATCTTACCTATCATTTTAAATGCTACGCTGACTGTTGGTTTTCTTCGTTGAACCCGATTCCTGGAAAGGATTTAGCGACTGACATGAAACCGCTTCAAAGAAGAGCTCTGGCGAGCCCTTCTTATTGTGTGTGGTAGTGGGGAGAAACAAGTTATGGCTGGCAGGTATACATCCAAGAAGAGAAAATAGAAGACATAACTGCTCAGTATTCATCTGTGTGTCCTGGGTCGTTCGTATTTAACGTCACAATTTATTGCGTTACGTACCTGGAATTTTCTTGCAAGTGGATATACTTCGAAAGTTTAGATGGGCCCTGAATGGCGAGCTCCCCTCGGAAGGTCAGGGTTGCAGGCCTTCTGGCTGCAGCAGGTCCCCTTCGCATCTTTTATGGTCGTAATGATCAGATTTATTAGACGTTACCCTTGCCTGTTTGTCTGCCCTTTAAACCACCACAGGGACAGATCACACTCTGGTCTGCCCACTTGGACGTTTTGGTTTCATAGACTTAACACTGATTCACAATGAGAAATGTGCTATCAAGAGGTATTAAAAAATATTGCCTTGCTGGAGCAACCTTCCTAATTAGCTGTGATTTTACTCCCCTCCTTTTTCCCAAGCTCAAGGAGTATATCAAGGGGACCTGTTTTGCAGATGTGGGTGGCATCAAGATGGCGGCTGAGGATCCGAGAAGAATCCTTCCACAAGTGGATGGCAGTCTTGCTAAGAAGGCTGAAAATGTGTGTATGCCTTCAGGGGGATGACTTCAAAGGGGAATATTTAGGGATATTTCAGAGTTTGGATTCAAAATACGGGTGGCCCGGTGATCAACTGGTTAGCGCGTTGGCCTTACAGTGTAGAGGTGCAGGGTTTGATTCCGGCTCTGGCCTTCCTGTGTGGAGTTTGCATGTTCTACCCGTGCCTGAGTGGGTTTTCTCCGGATACTCCGGTTTCCTCCTGCATTCCAAAAACATGCATGGCAGGTTAATGGAACACTCTAAATTGTCCGTAGATGTGAGTGTGAGCTCGGATGGTCATTGCAATGGAAGATGCAATCACGCAGACTCACTCTCCCATCACAACTCCCAATTCAAAGTGAGCTCCCATTGCATTCTCAGAATCTTGTTTCACATCGGCTGTACACCACGTACACATTTTCTTAATTGGACAACAGCATACAGTGTTTAGCCCGCAACTCTGTCCTTTGAGCATTTGTCTTGTCAGTAAATCTCTTAATTGCCGTAAGGCTCGATGTCTATCAGGTTAGACTTATTGTTTCCTTTGCGGGACAGGAATATTTGTGAGTGTTAGTCCTTGATGCCTCGTCCACAATTTATGATAGTTTCCCCTCTTACTGCCAGATACATCTGCCACCACGCAGTGTCACCTTGCAATACTCTAAAAGCATTCTTGAAGAGAGAAGAGTCGCTGCGTGTGTATCCTCACTCTGTCTTGCAGCGATATGAGTGCATTCATGTTGGGACAGTGAATTAAGTCTGGGTATGTCTATTCTTAGCACCGTTTTAGACCATTGTTTGGGTTCAGCTTTTGCTTTCTAAATTCCATGATAATTGGGGCTCTCTCAGGATTGGAGCCTCATAACATTAGCGGCAAGTAAAAATAACTGACTTATAAACACACACACACACATATTCACACACACACATGCACGCGCACACGCAGTGACGCAATGAAGCACGTTTGCGGCAAAGGATGTTGTACTGTATAAAGGAACAAAGACGGCCGACAAATCAAAATACTGTACAAATGAGGAGCGTTCTTGTTTACTGACTCATCCCAGCAAATGATCACCCTTGATTCTTGTACAAGTCAGTAATGAAGTAAAAATGTTTAAAATACACAGTTACAGCAGGCTTCAAAGGAAGAGAAAGAACATTTTGACATGTGTGGGAACGCACGAAAGAGTTTGCCAAAAAGACTAATAAACTCCAACAAGGAGAAAAATAGTCTCATAAAAGTAGCTGTTTAAAGTTGTTTCAAGCAATCCCAAGCTCTAGACAGCACAATAGGCTTAGGTTGTATAAGTCCAGCATGAACAAGACAAACAGCTGCCATTTAGGGGAAAGAATAGATTAGAAATAGAACCAGGGGGAAGTATTGTCCATTTATGTCGATGTGATTCACAAAATTTTGAAGTGAGTTCTGCACCTGGATGGCAGGTAGTGGAGAAAAGCAAATACAAGGGCCTCACGTGAGACCGACGACTGGTTCCAGTTAAGAATCTGGCAGCTAAATTTTGCACAAACTGTAAGAGATTGAGAGCAGATTGACTGCGGCCAGCGAAGCGCAGAGGGATTTACAGTAAACGAGATGAGAGAAAACAAATGTGTCAGTCTTGAGCTGAAGGTAAATTGGAGGCAGAGGCCACACAAATATTTGTGTATTCTCAGCATTTCATCCACACAAACTGTTATTAACATCACAAGAAAGTGTAGTTTTTAGAAAACTCTGGACAGAGCGGAGACTTTTCCAGGATTGATTTTGTGTCTAGATCGCCTATTCTACTTGTTCGTTTTAAACAGCTTCACAGTTGTGCAGTTTTTCAAACGATTAAGAGTAGATCATGTGAGAAATTACACTTTTGGACAGAAAGAACTCGGAGCGGAACATATTTTGTGTTAGAGAGATTTTATTATGGTCCAATGAAACCAAAGTTCAAAATCACGAAAAGTATTTTGGCAATAGAGTTACGACAGTAACCTCCACTGATTACTTGATTTTAAAAGTAACAAAGTTAGATTATTAGTACGTACTTCATTAAGATACAACCGGTTTTGCCAATACAGCAATCCCTCGTAGGGTTTATGTTCCGACCCGCGTGGACAAAATCTGAGTAGCTATCAAGTATTTGTATAATTGTATATTTTAAAGCTTTGTGTATACTCTACACTGTAATACCAACAATCAGTATATGCATATGAGCTGATGTTTTCATTTTTGGCCATTTGGGGTCACGAATCGCAAATTCAACATTTTACTAACCGTAACGTTTCATGAGGAACGACCTTTAAAAGGCGGGCTTGACCTATTTAGCTCAGCTGCTTTGTGTGCAGAGTGACGTCCGTTGCGGCTGCCAACAGGTCATGAAAATATACATGTGTTTACTCTGTTTTGTTACTGTTTGTTCAATTAAGAGTTTCAAAGCACTAGTGGCTGTTTCCATCCTGCCGCAAGTCAAACCTCCTCTCATGATGGCAGTTCTTTCCAACTAGCGATGATAGCCTTCATTAAATTAGCGAAAGTCATTTACTTTCATGGAGACATGCAGGAAAGTAACTTAAGATAATCGGGCTCTGCAATAGGCACATTACACTTTAACTTCTTTTATTAAGTATGAAATGATGCCAAACTTATGACTTTCTCCCTGGCTTGCTCAGATTGCTACATAAGTCAGCAGTAACAGTCAGTGTGCAAAAATACTCACAGCAAAATCGGATGACATAAAAAAATAAACAGTGATGTAAGTACAATAAAAAAAAAATCAGCGACTCAAAAAATGATATTATGATGACTATTGAGACGACTGTACTTTATTAGAAAAGCATTTTTAACAGTTTAATAACTTTTTATGAAAAATAAAATAAAATTAGTCTTTCTTGAATGTTAACATAAATTACTTGTTTATATAATAGATACAGTGGTTCTTAATTCACCTTGTTAGAGGTATCGAAATATTTCAAATATTTCTTCCAAGTTGATATTGGGTTTTTGAAGCAAGATAACATTTTGTCGCTAGGACAAACCTGAGTATTTTTGTCTATAGCTGAAACAAACTGAAAATACTGACTGCATTTCCATCTTGAAAACACAAATCTCTCCCCTCCTTTTATTCCTTGTGTCGCTGGCTGCTTCGTACATACACATGGGCCACCCTTGACTTGGCCATATGTGACATCACCCCCTGAAATGGAAGAAGAAAGCAAATACTGTGTAACTTTTGACAAAGAAAAATGACAAAAATGTTAACGTATTGACTAGGATCAGTGACTTTAATCTGATTACCGGTCTGCAAATAGTAATGCGTTAAATTATGCATTACTCATTATACAAATTAGAGTAAATCATGACTAAGTAATGCATTACTGACACGACTGTTTGGTGCCAAACAACACAGCTTAATCACCAACAGAACATCATACCTACAGTGAAGCACAACTGTCGTAGCATCATATTTTGAATGAAAATGAAAATCGGGCCTTATTCCAGTTGGAATGAACTATGCTCAGTTCCAAATGGCAGTCAGTATTAGCACAAAACCTGACTCATTATAAAAATTAGAGTAAAGCATTATTAAGTAATGTATTACTGACACGACTGGTGCCAAACAACACAGCTTAATCACCAACAGAACATCATACCTACAGTGAAGCACAACTGTCGTAGCATCATATTTTGAATGAAAATGAAAATCGGGCCTTATTCCAGTTGGAATGAACTATGCTCAGTTCCAAATGGCAGTCAGTATTAGCACAAAACCTTCAGTCTTTACTAGAAAGCATGACCCCCCCTCCAAAAAAGAAAAGCCTGAATTTTATTTGAGGTTAATCAGAGGCGCTTTAATTGGCGGCAGGTGTGTGCTGACTCTTTATTTAAAATGAAATTGAATATAATGAGTTAATTTTATACACCGCGACATAAAAGTTTTAACAGGGTGTGCAGTCATGTGAAACCATATTATGAGGTTTAATGAAGATTTCTAAGTCCAACTGTTGGATCGAGGATTCTGAGATGCTCACAGTTGTTTTAATGTTTTGTGTTCAGAATCTTACACTACCATGCGTGTTTTTGGAATGTGAGAGGAAGCCGGACAAC